ATTGCTGTCACTAGTATCTTAGTGATGGATGTCAGTAATGTTTATGAAATAGCAGTTTAGGACTAGACAATATATTTTTAATTTGACTTCATGTGTACATATATAAAGGGGTACATCCAGCATTACAGAATGAAGGGCGTTTTCTCCAAAACAAACACAAAATGATTTGTATGATCGTAAAGTTTTTATTGAAAAGAACCAGAAGACAGTGGAACTTGTAGACTTTTAGAATATTGGAGTGGTCGTTCGACCTCCCACACCTCCAGCTACGCCACCGATACACACATATATAAATACAAAAAGTAATGTGAACCTCGTGAGACTAAAATATGACTATGATATAATAAAAAAGACAATTTTTTTACCCACCATATCGTATTCTTTGGACAGCTCAACGGGATTCGTCAAGAATTCAGGGTATCCTATCCTTTCATTCATAGAGTTAGCCTGTTATAAAACAATATCGTTCAAATTTTCACGTTTTATGTAGGACTTTAAATATTATAATCTAAATCCATTAACGTGGATCAAATCCCCACTTTTGATGTAAGATCTTACGTATAATAATCTAAATCCATTAAAAAAGTATGGATCAAACTCCAACTTTTCGTCCATGATTTCAGATATGATCATCTGAATCCATTAAATACCATAGAACAAATTCCCTTGTTTAATGTAAGAATTCCAGGATAAATATTTACATTTTATTGAATCCCATGTGAGACACGTGATCAAATCCTTTGGGACGTGTGAATACTTAACAAGGATAAACAAGCTGATAATCGAACTCAAATTGCCACCTAGCGAGAGATATATCTTTCAACGAGCATAGAAACCAGGTGGGGCTGCGGGGGGTACTACTAAAAGGCTATAAGTGAGAGGAAACGAGCCTAAATAGCTCAGTTACAATTTTAATAACCAACCACTGTCGCTTTGCAGCGACTTCATTTCGTTGCTATAGCACTGAAGAATAGGGATCTTAGAATTATGGGGATTACTGTCATATATAGAGTACGACCGAGTGGTGCAGTCTTGGTGGAATGACCAATTGAAGCTATTCATAGAGTGGTAATTCTTAAAACCCGTTTTATGGAAGCTCTTCATAAAGTGGTAAATCTTAAAACCCGTTTTATGGAAGCTCTTCATAAAGTAGTAATTCTTAAAACCCGTTTTATGGAAGCTCTTCATAAAGTGGTAATTCTTAAAACCCGTTTTATGGAAGCTCTTCCTAAAGTGGTAATTCTTAAAACCCGTTTTATGGAAGCTCTTCATAAAGTGGTAATTCTTAAAACCCGTTTTATGGAAGCTCTTCATAAAGTAGTAAATATTAAAACCCGTTTTATGGAAGCTCTTCATAATGTGGTAATTCTCATATTTTGAATCTCGAGTTAAAAATTTTAAAACTACAATAAATTGAATTCTTTTGATTGTCTACAATTTGAAAACATTAGAAAATAAATATGACCTGTTAGTTAATATTACTTCAAATCGATGAATATCAAATATTACTTGGTACAGCTTGGCATGGCCAAAAGGTTAGGGGGCGCTCGATTCGTAATCTGCGAGTCCCCGTCACCAAACATGCTCGCTCTTTCAGTCGTGGAAGCGTTATAATGTGATGGTCAATCTCACTAATCGTTGGTAAAGAGTAGCCCAAGATGGGCGGTGGGTGGTGTTGACTAGCTAAATTAGGGACAGCTAGCGCAGTTGGCCCTGTTGCAACTTCGAGCGAAACTAAAAACAAAACTACAACCAAACCAACTAAACCTTACATGGTAGTCATCACTAAGAAACAGATTATTTGTTATCAAAACAAAACTAAAACCAAACCAATTAAACCTTACATGGTAGTCGTCACTAAGAAACAGATTATTCATCATTAAAACAAAACTAAAACCAAACCAATTAAACCTTACACGGTAGTCATCACTAAGAAACAGATTATTTGTTATCAAAACAAAACTAAAACCAAACCAATTAAACCTTACGTGGTAGTCATCACTAAGAAACGAGATTATTCGTCATCATAAATCATACCTTTTCTTTGGCTACAGCACGAGTGACGTCATCCATCCATTCAGTATCCTCAAGAAGTTCATTAAATGCTTCTCTGATGTTATGAATCATTTCCAGAGCCTCGACAAGAAACAATTACTATTAGATGTTGCTATGGTTACAAGCCGAATGAAAGACAACGAATCTCTGCGAATTATACTCGTGTACAAATGTGGAAGAAGAGGGTAATTTATTCTTAATTCTGAAACTTCTTTTGATACTTCGTTCGACCACCGTGACTCATGCATATATATTTATATATACACCTGTGTTAATTCAAGCACCATAACTTATATATATTTATACATACACCTGTGTAGATTACAGCACCATAACTTATATATATTTATATATACACCTGTGTAGATTCAAGCACCATAACTTATATATA